GACACGATAATGAACCAAGATGGCGGATGGCCAATTTGCAAATGCTTGTCGAAGAGTTGATATCCGTCCAGTCAGCCAGGGTTCCTAGCGTTGCAGATGGTGCAAGATCATGACTTGGTGTGATTAAAAGACATCTCCAATGCGATATTACAAGTATCACACAGATAATATTGGGAAACTTTATAACTTTCCGGGAACTATTTGAAAAACGCCTGACCGCCATGGCAATCTAATTGTCTCGTGGTAGAGACAAGAGATCCCAAACTAGAACGGCGTTTCTCAGGTCGTTTTTCTCGTATTTCAATATTAGTGATCTACTCTAATTATATGCCGGGTTTTTTTTTTAACCCTTTAACTTCCAAGATCTGATTGTTGATTCTTTCCTCTAGCTGCTACACATTTCTTTGTAAATTAGTTGTGAACCCTTGTAAATTGTGCGCTACAGTCCATTCTGAAAATACCACCCATTGGAAGATGTAATATTTGTAGGTGGCAAAAATGTGAGGAAACCCACACAGTCATTGAATTGGAGCTTGGGAACCCAGTGCCGATAAGGATTCGTTAATGAGTACAGTGTAGTTTTGTACGTCTTAGCAGGTGTTGAATGCTGGCCACGTGGTTTTGGTTTATGGAGATCGCATTGTCGAAGCAACTCTTGGCTTCCGTAAGGTTTTCTTTAAGCTCCAAAATGAGGCCACGCTGTGTAGGAAAGTAAAAGAATAAGAACAAAAAAAAAATTGAAGTCTGCATATGGGATCGGACTGACTGGCAACTTTCGATGCGCAGATCAGCGCGCTATCACAGCACCGGGGTAACACGCTGATCTGCGCCTCTTACTCTTGCGCCGTTTCCGTTCCAGACGCGTTCTCAAAGTGGTCGCGTCCTCGATCTGAACCTCCCTCCTGAGTGGAAAGCATTTAACAAAGGAGAAGGTGCTTCGTATTTATACAGTAAGATTGAGATCTTGGGTGATAGATTGGTAGGGGATATGGCAAATTAATGTAAGAGAAAAAATATTATCGCGCCATATACAAGTGTAGCAGGACACGAGGACTATCTAAGCACTCCATTCCCCCACCCACCCTCCACCCTTTGTCTTAGATTTCTCGCTCTCTTTTTATGAAAGTTTAAAATATATTGTTGCTGTCATTATGTGTATTATTTGACTTACAACACGAAAATAAGACTTATCATACCTGGAACATCACATCCGGGAAAAAAGGGAAAATCAAATGAGCCTCCTGAACGCATGCGCTGGCCTTCAGTGTCCTTCTTCATTGCGACATACACATCAGCTGTAACAAAACAAAACATAGGTCTGAAAATAAATCAGCACGTCCCTGAGTGGCTAAATAGAAGTGAGTTACTTTAGGTGTTAAGTGTTGACAAATTGTCTAAAGCTCTTACGGTGCAATTTTTGCAACTGATCTGAGATAGTGCTGGTCTTACTTGGCTTAGCACACAAATAGGACTTACTAATAGCAAGCCACGGTTTTGGTTGTAAGGCCAAGACAGCGGGGACGCTGAGTTTGACGGAAGTGGAGGCAGCCTCATCTGATAAGGTTCGCTCAAGGTGTATTGAAGCGGCGATGGAATTGGCACCATCATCTGACAAGAAGCGCCACAATGGTTATTAGTTAACAACAGACTAACAATAACCAAAGTTGCACGGGGAGTTCTATTGTTTGACGGAACACTTACTGGAGTCTTTGTCGCTGGTGATTTCGATCTGTGAGTGGAATCTGTTTCAAGGTTCGGGAATCTGTGATGAATTTCTGTAGTAAACCTGATTCAGCTCTTTGAAGCTCTGTCGATCTACGATGAGAACAGTTACTTGATGAGGCCTTAGGCCCCACTCTAAATTTTATACAGTTTTTGAGTAAGGCATTGAGTCTAAAATAATTTTCCTCGTTTACTTTAAGCGTTCACAATTCTTCCTGCGAACAGAAGCTGATTGACAGTTCTCTGATACCTAGTTACAAATCAACACGCCCAAAATAACAACTAATCTCAATTTGCTCTTTCATGTTTGCTTATCAAATCGATAAAGTTTTGGATCTCTGCTTGCCATCTAAAAATTGTTTGTTACTTACAAGAAGTAAATTTATGTGCAACAAGCAGAAACTTTCTTTGTTATTTTCGTTACTCAAGCGCACCTACGCTTTGACTGACGAATCACCATGGCTTTGTTAATCAGAACTGTTTGCTCTTCACACTCACCCCGATAGATCTGACTCTTACAGCTGTTTCCAGGTCTCCAGTAGTGGTGGTTCCTCTTGCATATGGTAGCTAGTGGTTCTCTTTGGTTTATCTGGAGATAATAGAAGCACAAGATATGTTTACAGTTTCTCTAGCATTAAGCAATAAAGAGCATTGTTTTCAGTGTAGCTCTAGAGGGGGAGCCGAATCTTTTCAAATCCATTGCAAACTTGGATGAGGAACAGAGATGCCTTGCTTGCCTCTCTCGTGGATATGAATGCAGTCCTCTGACTATCTGAGGAAATTTTACGTACGCTAGACCCTTGAATGGCGGGCTTTAATCTATCGCGTGCCCCAGGAGTCCTCCAGGGGAAACAGAGGGAAGCCATGCTCATTTTTTATGTTAGTGGGGTAAATTCTTTAAAAAAATAGATTTTATGCGATGCTGTGCTACTTTTGC